TGGGATGTCTATGGAGAATATTTTTCAACTTTCAAATCCTTCTACTTCCTCATACTTTCAGCTACAGACACCATTTCAACTTTCAAATGTTGTGAAAACCCTCAGCTATTGCCACATAATTCAGCTTTTTGATATATTTTAAACTTTTTAAACTGTCCCATTTTAACTTTTATGATTTTTTCAGCCCTTTTCTGACTTTATAATGGGTGTGTATTGCGGAGCTTAGAGTGCGTGATGTCACCGCTAGAGTGAAGAGCAGCTTGAGATTCTTGTGAAAAAAACATTTGTCTTTTGCCACCGAGTCCACAATCTTCACTCTTCAGGCATAATTTGTGGATTTAAAAGTAGCTAATCTTGTCCTTGTCGTAGACAAATGACTGTGGAATCCCACAGATTTACACATTTGGCACAGAAGCCTGTAATTGAGAAGAAAACCAACTTTCTGCTCCATAGACACCAATGTTAAATTTTGCTTCAAAAACATCTTCCACAGAACTTGGTACCCCATTTCTAGATCGCCAGTTTAGCCACATTTTTTACACTATAGACACAATTTTTACAGGATCTGTTCTTCAATTCATCCTTCCTCTCATTTATTAATATCGGAGCAATAGGAGCTACGGTTATGGGAGTTTTGAGGATTTGTTTGAGAGGTGTTTCCCTGTTTTATCTCCATGAAAAGGCTGCAAGGACACAGGTGTTTCTGATTAAGCTAATTAGTGATGTTGATAAACACACAGACTCACAGACACACACGCACTCCTCTCTCTCTCTCTCTCTGTGTGTGTGTCTCTCATACAATTATTCAGGTTCTTAGAGATCTTTAGAGGACCCCCCCACACACACACACACCCCATTTTAAAATAAAAGCCCCACAGAGTGAATTCTAACTGGAATGCTTGTGATGAAGCCTGACATTTAATAACCTCTGTTTATGTGTCAAACATTATGATTATGTCTCCTCCTCCTCTCTCCCCCACCCAGCCCCACCCTTTCAAAAATAAAAGCCCCATGTATTAACTATTTAAACATTAAGCTCAAAATTAGGCTTTTTTGTTGAAATAATGAATGCTCTTACTAATACTGCGACAACTACTACTACTGCTGCTAATATTTCTAGTATTACTACTACTACTACTACTACAACTTTTGCTGTTGCTACTATTACTACTACTACTACTGCTACCATCAATATTATTACTACCACTACTGCTATTACTACCACTACTACAATTACTTATACTACAACTGCTACTACTACTACTGCTATTCATGCTACTACCAGTACTAATACTACTACAGCTATTAGTACAACTGCTACTAGTACTACTACTACTGCCATTACTATTACTACTACTACTACTTCTACTACTACTGTTATATTAAATACTACGACCACTACTACAGCTATTACTACTACTACTACTACTACTACTGCTACTATATTAAATACTATGACCACTACTACAGCTATTACTACTACTACTGATACTACTACTTCTACTACTTCTTCTAAATACTAATACTTCTAATGCTACTAATACTTCTACTACTAATAATACTTCTACTACAACTACAACTTCTAGTACTACTATTACAAATATCACTACTGCTGACATTTTTTAAGCCACAGAAACCGTTCGAATATCAAAATGTTCAGCTCTTTCAGGAGAGGGGTGATATGACTTTTCATATTTGTAATCTTTAAATTCTTTGAAATATTAAGCTATTTGCATTTTCTTTTGAATGGGATCTCTATGGAGAAAATCTTCAAATCCTGTTAAACTTCTTCAACTTTCAAAGCCTTCTTCTTCCTCATACTTTCAGCTACAGACAAAACATAGTTAGACATTTCAACGAGAAGGGTTTTCATCAGTGCAGTTTAAATGCTTTCAGGCTTCAACATTTTTCAGACGGGTAGTCTCCCATTTCTTAATTTTCAGCAATTTTTTTACAATTCATTTCAGCTTTCAGCATTCCAACACATTTTCAGCAGGAAATGCATTTTCTAGTTTACTTTGACGAGCGCTTTTACATCACTCTGCGAGCAAAATGTCGTCTCGTGCGAGCAGAATTCACTCTCGCGCGAGCCAAAGCCACTCACGAAGCTTCAACCCGCTCGCGAGCGAGCAGTTTTTCTTTTTGACAGTAAGTGGGCGGACATTGTATCTCTACATCTAATTGGTTACAATCCTCGTCTTGGGATAAACCATATATCACTCTGACACAGACGCTAGGGGGAGATTTTCAGATTGCAGGTCAGGGGAAAATAATGTACATTTTACTGCATGGGTACTTTTACTTTCTGCACTTAAAGTACGTTTTGCTGATAATAACATTGACTAAGGTTTTGAATGCAGGTATTTTACTCGTAGTGGATTATTGTTTCATCAGTATGGCATTAGTACGTTTACTGCAGTGAAGGATCTGAATACTTTTTCATCCACTAACTACTTGTCAGTTATTTAACAGTTAATATACAAACAGTGGTCCCTAATCTTGGCTCCAGATCTTTGAGCAGGTCCAAATTGTTGCTCATATTATATACAACTATATTATATCTCTTCTGTAAACACAACAGTATGATTAAATATGATCACATCATGTTTTAATCAATTAAGATCAAAGAGTTTCTTTGAGCTGTTTGTCACGAGAGGTTTGAGTATCAAAGACACATTGTCTGTAATAGAATAATGGAGTGAATTGAAACCAATCTGAGCAACTTGACTTTAACACATTTTTAATTGTTGTATTTAACAACTCTATTAACATCATTTGTATTTCATCAGCCTCTACAGTCTGAAAAGTTTACAAAACCTGTCAGACAAATGTAGAACATGCTGAGATGTAGTGGAGTAGTGTGTAGTGGCGGATTGAAAACCACCTCTATCAGACCTAGCGTCTGTGTCAGAGTAATATCCGGTCTATCCCAAGACGAGGATTGTAACCAATTAGATGTAGAGATACAATGGCGACTGGGTCCGCCTACTTACTGTCAAAAGGAAAAGCTGCTCGCAAGCGAGCAGGTAAAAGACTCTCGAGCGAGCGGGTTAGAGTTTCGCGAGCGAGCGGGTTTAAGGTCCGCGAGCGACTTTTGCTCACGTGAGAGTGAATTCTGCTCGCGCGAGACGACATTTTGCTCGCGGAGTGTCACAAAACGCAGTTTTCCTTTGGCCAGCAGGTGGCGCTGTGAGTATTAGGGGAAATTAGCTTGTAGACATCCTCAGGCCATGAGTTTTATCAAGCATGAGAAGTTTGGGACCGTTTGGAACAAGTCCAGCTGAGTTACATCAGCTTTTTTCATGGGGAATCACATAAAGTAGCCGCCCGCTACGGCTAAGCCATTCCATCAAACGTAAAGCTTTTGATAACTTTTAATCACAATGGTCTTGAGATTGTACTGACCAAATTTGAAGAGGATCAGACAAATTCCCTAGGAGGAGTTCGTTAAAGTATAGTGACTAGAAATAGGCCAAATTCTATGGAAAAATGACACAAAAATGAAATTTGCTGACTTCCGGTAGGGTTTAGAGCATGGTCCCAAGAGACCTATTTTTAAGTCGCCATAGGATACATGTGCCTACTACGTTTCATACATGTAGCTGAAACGTAGCGCTGGGGCTGCTCTTTTGAATTATTGTAGGGGGCGCTATAGAGGCAATTTAAAATGGCCAAGCCAAAAACCCATATACACTATGTCTTCCGATGACCTATGACACATGTACAAATTTCCATGAGTTTTTGAGCATCCCAACCCACTAAACCATCAGCTTCCTTTTTCATGGCGAACGATGCGTCACCACGGCAACAGCGTTCAACGAAAATCAAAAAGCTTTTGATAAATTATGATGATCTAGATCCAATAAGTATCCACATCAAATTTGGTAGCAATCGGAACCAGCATGTAGGAGCAGCTTGCACAAATGTGTTTTTCACTAAATTCAATATGGCAGAAAATCTAAGTAGGCGGAGCTTAGGGGTCTGAGAGGCTTTTTTTTAGATCTAGATTTAGATTTGGACATGTGTGTAGAATTTCAAATAAATCGGACATACTGGCCGAGGGGCGTCGCCGGTCCGATTTGTAGGGGGCGCTAGAGAGCCATTTTTTTACACACAAATATGCAAATTAGGGCAGCAGAGTTTCTACACCAGACCTGACAGGGGTGCAAAATTGGTGAGTTTTCATGGATGGCAAGTACCCCTACAAGCTCCATCCCCAGAAAAATAAAAATCAGAAGAATAATACCCCTTACAGTTTCAATAGGGCCTTCGCAGGCCCGACGTTGTCGGTTGCTCGGGCCCTAATAAAAAGAAATCAAGCGGAACCGACGTGACAAGCACTGTGTTCCAACCACGCACCCCAGAGCGGCTCATGTTACAGACCGACTAGCGGTAAAACCAGAGAGAGAGAGACAGCGACACAAAGAGAGCGAGAAAGACACAGAGCGACACAGAAAGAGAAAGAGGGGGGGGGGAGCTTACAATGTTCCTATATCATCAAAGGGGGGCTTGACAGAAAAAGTTTGGGAACCACTGGGTTAAGGAATACACCTTCCAACAACCAAACATGTAAAAAGGCCAATTTGGGGTTTTAGGGGAACTTGTGTGCTGGGACTAATTCTTGACAAACAACAGTTGGCTAGAAATCGTTCTGTCCGCATAAAGGAGGAATCTCAACCAAAACATTAGTGACAGATTTCGAAGTGAGGTTGGTTTTTATTGATTGAAGTTAGAAAATGATACTGTGTTGAAACCTGATCACAAAGGTCAGTACACTGAAACTGTCAGGGGTAAAATGTGCTACGTTAAGACGAAGTCTCCAGAGGACCTACTTGCCCCCCCCCCCCCCCCCCCTCAAGTCTGTGCTCCGTCAGCTCCAACATCAAATGTACCAAAGAAAACACAAGCATAGAAAGCCAAGCACCTCATTACCGGCTTCTCCAGCATCAACTCTGACCCCAGCATGTTATAAGTAGTACAAAACCATGTAGGATCCTCACCTCGTACGCGTTCTTGATATTGAGCGGCTGTCCCGTGGCGGCTACATGTCCCACAATGCCCTTGTTCCACTCCAGCCTGATGCAGCTACTGGAGGACTCCTCCAGTGTGGATCCCTCGGCTACGTCAAATAGACGGCTGACTAAGAACTTCCTGTTGGAGCTGTCCTCGCCTACCTGGGACATAACACACACACACACATAGACAAAGCAGAATGTGGTCATACAACTGTTGGCTTGGACTACCAACACATGCAAAGAAAGCAAAGCAAAAAACTTATCTCATCTCATGAAAGAGAACAAGTTGGGAATACAGAATAGTAATATTCAAGCAAAATCGAATGAAAGTATAACTAGATCTCTGCCAGGTTTGTCTGCAACGATCACTCCTGTCATGTTTGATTGAATGAATACAAACCAAAAATTTCGAACCCCCCCGTCGTGTTTTTTCACTCGCATGTCCCACGCAACAGATACGCTCTCATTTCAATCTATGCAGCTGTCTGCACCGCCTCGGTAAAGGCTGGTGTCTCAGTTTCTTTTTTACAATCAATGTACAACCAAAATACTATGCAGTTTGGTGCAGCAGAATGCAAGATTATCCCGTGGACAGACTCAGAGATGCATGCGCACGCACACTCATGTACACACTCGACCAATCTCATTATCTCCTGGTGGAGATCATTAAAGCTGCACTACTCAATATTTTTATATTAACAATGGATCAAATAATTACAATGTGTGTAATTTAAAAGGACCGTTGTTTCCAGCAGCAGCAGTCAGCTGTTTTGTATTTTGTAAAATATACAATACAATGAACCCACAGAGAATTATCGGACACTGTTAGCTCTGTCAGTACTGTTGGCAGTACTGTTGCTGTTGTTTGCACTGTTAGCACCGTTAGCTCCTAGCTGCTGGCTCAGTCGTCGCCATGTTGAGAGCCGTGTGGAGGCAATCCCCCAATCATAGTTAGTAGTGCTGGGCGGTATGGTATACCGGTTTTAATTTCCCGTATGATATGAATTGACATAGGCGAAACAACTGCTGTCGCTCTTCAACAGGCAGCTAAATAGATTGTTCACCGCTAAGGAGCTAGTTCACTGTTCCGTGTTCCGATCCGTGTTCCGTTCCGTGTTCCCTTCCATGCTCCGTAGTTCAGCACTAATAGATAGGCTTTGAACTTCAAATGTAACACGTTTAAATGTATAAGCCAGGCTTAAACTCCATTTCGGGTTAGCATTACAATGGGAAGCGGCTTATCAAACATGTAATTAAACTAATTGTTTCGCATTTGATCAAATCTTTCAAATTATTTCATATTATCATTAATAATACTAGTATTAATCATTACCAGTAATTTTATTATTTACACAGACAGGTGCAAACTACTCAAATTTTTCTAAATGCCTCTATGTTTTTCCAATGAGAAATGAACTGAAGTCTGCAGGTAACAGTGTTACATACGTGCTCCAGGTAAAGCAGTTAGAATGACAGTTTGACCCACAACCCTTTGCGTTCCTACCAGGAACAGCGAGTAGCGGTCTGCGGCGATTAGCTCATTGATGTGGAGAAAGATCTTGTGGCAGAGTGCTGTCACATCCAGATGACTCGACACGTCCTTCACCAGCTCCAGCAGCCTGGCGCAGCAGTCAACCCCGCTGCCACTACCTGCCCCGCTGACACCACCTTCACCCATCACTGAGCCCCGGAGAGGGACAGTTTCACGGTCGGCGTCGCTCAGAAACGTCAAAGAGCCCTCAGAGTCTTTAACCACAATGGGTCTGAGTGGGCGGTCGAACTCAGATGCTGAGATCTTGCGAGTTGGGGTGCCGGGGGCCGGGCTCGGGACCGTGGCCGGGGAAGGGCAGCAGTTGTCCAGGAAGCTGAGGGTGGGTGGGAGGATGGTGGAGGCAGAAGGGGAGCTGTAGTCCGTGGAGGACTGGTGGGCCCGCTGCTGTAGAGGATTTTCTTTGGAGGCAGATGGCTGCATGGAGTGGACGCGCTCAGCGAACCAGGCATTCACCATCTCCCTGTCGAAAGACAGAAGAAACAGTATCAGACACGTAATTGAACCATATTGTAACAGAAGGTACAGTACTGTATCTGTACAGCTGTTTGAGGAACTGTTACGAATGAAATACCACCTGAAACATACATTACATGTAGTTCATGACTAACAGAGCATATTATTTAACAGTAGACACCTCTGACATATTTAGGCCAACATACACAGACATTTTATTCCTGACATTCAGAAGAATATTGATCATATGATTAAATACACAAAACCACACAGGTAGACTATGATTAGAGTGGTGTCGCTAATCAACTCCTGAAAACCCACAACAACAGAGATTCTCATGTGTTCATGCACCAAAACCAAACAGACATCCGTCCAAAACAGTTTGCGTAGCTATTTATGCCGCAATTTCAACCCCAAAAAACGAAGACACCAAAGAAAATTCTAAATTTAGATTGTTTTGGGATTTCTTCAAAATCCAGCATAGAAAAATATTGCTGTATATTTATTGCCCTGGTTGCTGGAGTTAAAAGTTAATATATGTGCTCATCCATCCACCACCATGCATGTCTTATCCTCCTAATCCTTATCTGTTGCAGAAACAGATTTGGCTTTTGTCTCACTTGTTCAGCACATTATATGCATCTGAGAACATTTGACTAAACTACCAGTCTGCTGTACGTAAAAAAAAACATTTTTCCTGTGAAACTGAACAGCAGATAACAACGGTTTTAAGCAATGATTACAGCAAGTATACAGTGAATGTGGGCACTGATGATAACCCATTTTGGTGAATAACTAATTAGTGAGCATGGATAAGAAAAGTGAATGAAGGCACAGTCGATACCGTGTGATGAACTGTGTTTACACTGAGGTGTGTGTATGATTGTGTGACCAGTAAATCAGGTGCAAATATCTCTAATCAGCCAACACATCTTCTGATCAGCTTCTACAACACAAACACACACATGTTTTCAAGCCACGTGGGTCATGTGACACATGGCTCAGTTCACCTGAGCGTAAGGGAGGACACTAACAGCCGCTGGCCATGAAATTAACCACGGTATCTTGGGCCCGAGCCAGGCAAATAAAACGCCAGGAGCCACAAAGGATGGGCTGTTATCTGACTGCAGTGTGGTGGAGCCGGTCAGGTTGAGTCCTCCCCACAGAGCAGACCCTAATGTTTCCAAGAGAGGTGTGGCTCAATCAATACTTCTCTAAGAAATGCCTCCTGACCAGAACAGCTGGTGTGTGCACCGACACACTTCTTTTAGCAGGAGAAGCAAAAATATGCTTTTTATGGAAACTATTTTGAGATGGAGAGAGGATTGAGATAATGTGTGTTTCAGTCACTGGATGAAGTTGCCATGGTGTTTTAAGTAGATAAATGGGTCTGAAGGGGGTTGTCACTAATACAAACACAGCCCTAAGAGTGTACTGATGAGCACTTTGAAATTCCAAGATATGCATGCTGCAAAAAAAGAACCTTATATAGCTCCAAAGACTGATTTGGAATCTGTGTTTGCATAATAAATGAAATGGCTAATTTGCTCCCAGCCTCTGAGGTCTAAACCGAGAAGGCTGCAACAGAAAAAAACATTTCAGGCACGGGCAATAAATGTGGAAGGCTTTTAGTTATCACCAAGGACCTGACCTATTCAACAGTGCTTGCTGAGAATTAAACCGAATGTTTGGCAGCAGTAAAAGTTAATGATTAGAGGGCCCTGTGTAACTCTCGGAGCTGTTACTGATTGTGAAGTGGATGGTGAAATGAAAAGGAGCTGAGAGAGGAGGCACAGCGGAGAGAGACGATGTGAATCAGCTCTGCAGGTACACAGACTACCTGAGCAGGGTCAGACTGGACCTGCAAGACCCACAATCACTAGTGCTGGAGAGCATGTTTACTGTTAGGAATGATCAGGGCAGGCTTATACAGCCATCCTGTCTCAATGGAGAGGTAAAGTGATTCCTAATGAAAACGAGTTCAACTAACAGAAGCTGTTCCTGATTGACTGCTGCACACAAAAGCAAACAGAGTTTTGTTTTGCAGAGATTTCCACCAGAAACTACACTCACATTCACCAGGCTGCACAGAAACAAAGTCAATCAGGCTGAGTGTCCCCTGAGCTCGGACCCTTTTACCTTGACGCCTTCCTGATAAAGTAGGAGTGGGTGAACTCCAAGTGGTCGTCCAGCCACGCTTCCATCCTCTCGCTCTCCGCGGAACAGCAGTCCTCCATGACGCAAAGGACGACAACAGAGTCTCCCACTGTGAGCTCCGGTTACCGCCTACATCTATACGCGAAAGACAGCAGGCTACCGACTCATGTATACGGAGAAAGAGAGAGGGACAGCGGCTCAAAGAGAGAGCTGCTCGCGGTCCGGGAAGTTGGTGCGCGCGGTTCATAAAGCGGGGACTGTGCGCTTCCTAGTTGGTGAAGCGACTGGAGACTGGAGAGAGAGGGAGAGGGAGAGAAAGAGAGAGGGGGAGAGAAAGGGAGAGCGATAGAGAAAGAGAGGGAGAGCGAGAGATACAAATAAACAATATACACACCTATGTTCCTATTATACAAGGGAAATGATTGGACATAGACATTCAATACAAAATAAAACATCCCACTGTGGCATTTGATTTTTGAAAAAAAAAATCTAATTTGTGATATTGTAATATTGTAATGTTTAACAACGTTTGCATTGGCAAAGCATATTACAGAAATAGCAATGATTATAGCCCAATACAAACTTAGATATTAAGGGTCACTCAAGTAATTTAGTATATTGAGCAACATAATTTTGGTGGACTCACGAGAGATGGATTTAAAAAAAAGAACCGTTAAAATCAACTGAGCAGTGGCTTCACTTGGACAGATAAAGGGCTATTTATTCAGACTTGACAAAACTCCTCCAGATCTACAGAGCACATTATACAGCTGTTTTCACAAGCTGAGTACTGCTCAGCATGTGTAAAATTGATGGAGTTCTCCTTGAAAGAAAATATCTTGTGAGGTGATAATTCGGTGTGATTGTACATATACATTTATATCAGATGTGGCATTCCACAGGGTTAGATGTAGCTTCTATCATCATCTGTCTGTCTTATATCTCTCTCTCTCTTTCCACCCCTTTAAAAAAACAGCCCAAATAAGGTCTCCATAAAATAACCATTAACAATCTCAGGATCATAAAGTGGCATTCCTAAATTCCCCAATGAAAGCTCTAATGTGGTCAAAGATATACAGTAGTACCAAGAACATTTATTTCTGTTCTTTTAATAAAGTAATGCATTAAGAGACCTTATTAGTTCCCTGGAAATGTTTACATATCCATGAATGAAGGTTACGTACAGTCCTTCTGGGAATGTTCTGGGAATTAATGAAACAAAGTAAAACATGTCTGGAACCATCTTTGAAGGTTCTAGGTCAAGCCAATTTCCAAATCGGAAGCTTTGAAAGTTTCTTTCTGGCCTAAAACTGAGACTTCAGCCCAGTGTATACATGACCCTACTGAACATGACCATTTTGGGGAGGATTGCATAGTGAAGGCCACTACTAAAATACACCAGAGGGTTACTGTAGAGAAGAACTACTGTTAGCAACCCGGACCTGATTGAAAGCAAATAAGTATTTTTTTTTTCAAAAAATAGGAAACTGGATGTCAAGCGGTTCAGAATGAGCCAGAGATGGAGTAAAAATCATCGTAATCTTTCTACCGAGCAACCACAGACACCTGAACCCTGGTGTGGTATTATAGGAAACTAAAGTCACAACAGAGTACCACACATACACGGAAGTCTCTCTGCAAATATTAAAGGAAGTAATGCAAATTTACTATGCAGAAAAACTCATTGTCATAGCAATATGTTAGGGCATAAACATACCAACCTATGATAAACCAACTGCTGAGCACCAGCGACTGAGTTTGTGTATTCTGATTTAACCATGATGACATTTATCATCTCCAGGGAATAAGCCGCACAGTTTTTTCATTCATTCCTGTCCATACACTTGGTTTACTCAATGCTGATTCTATTTTCTCACGCTCACATAAACAAAGCAAATATTAACTGTGAGAAATGTGCCAAAGTGGTTAACTTTTTTGAGAAACATTGAATTCTCTTACTTTACTTCAATATCAGCACCAATGACCAGCTGTGTCAGACTTCAACAGCTGACACTATTTAAAATGTTGGTGGTGGACTAAATAATAGTAAATTGAAAGACTTTCTTTGTGAAAATGAATGCTCCAAAACTCATCTCTAAAAAATTTAAAATAAATATAGTGAACTCTTGAAGTAATTAACTTTTCAATTATCCTGTGAATCACGCAGGCTTTTATTGATGAAGTGTAATGGCTTTCAGCCTCTGTGTCCTTGCTGCGCTGGTCTCCAGTGTCCCCCCAGCTGGACACTTGGCCCCCGCCGGTGGTGTTACCTTACCAGCAGATGGTGGCCGGTCGTCCCAGGGGAGAACCCACCACCAGCATCCCAACCCCCTCCAAGTCTTCCACAACACAGAGAGCCAATCAGAGACAACAGAACCTCTAGTCAGTCTGATGGTGAGATGGAGAAGTAGGGACACACACAAAAAGACACATCTCCTTGTGTTATAGGCTGTGTACTGTCTACCTGTGGGTTCTTCACGCTTCATTGTCTCTTCACAGAGTGTTTCATCGTTACATTGTTCAACCTGTATTGACATTATTTCTCCTGTGTGTTGCTTATAACCTTGCTATCGCAGCCTTTCTGACAAAACTCCACTTTGACACTGATGAGGGATGACACTCCAACCATTGTGTCACTTCTTAGATTATTCATCGCTCGTGAATATTTGTCTTCTGCTGTACTTGTCTGTCCACCCCTGAATACCCTCCTATCAGTATATCTCTTAAAAATGTTCATGGAAAACAGATGCAAAGTATGCACAAAAGGATAGACAGCATGTCCAGCACAGCCAATAAGATATGCACTAACTCACTAAACCTTCACTTTTTTAAATGATCATACAATACAATACATTTACAGTCTGTACTTAGGCATACATTGCTTTACAGCTAAATGCTAAAATTAGCATGTGAAGATGCTTATAATGAAATTGTTTTCGATATTATGCTATCATTTGCTTAGTAGCACTAAAAACAATGTAGAGCTGAGGCTTTCCAGAACATACTGGTGCTGCCTGAAAAGTCAGGGAGGTCACAAAAGTTATTAGAATTCATCTTCTGGGCCAAAGATTACTTTGGTGCGACTGTAGGTCAGTGGAGAGCAGGGTCGTCCTTCAATCAGAGGATCGGCCGTTTGATCCCGGCTCCACTAGTCCAATGCCGATGTGTCCTTGGGCAAGACACTTAACCCCAAATTGCTCCCGTAGGCTGTGCCGGTGGTCTATGAATGGGTTTAATGATTAGCTAGTTCTGATGAGCAGGTGGTACCTTGCATGGTAGCCCCTACCATCAGTGTATGAATGTGTGTGAATGGTGTATGATGACATGTAGTGTTAAAGAGCTTTGAGTGGTCGGAAGATGAGAAAAGCACTATACAAGTACAGTCCATTTAGCATTTTCATGTCTAAATGGCCAAGATATATTATTATGAAATAATAGGATATATATATATATTATGGTACATTTACCATGAACAATAGCAGTGATTGAATTCTATCCTTTGTTGTTGTATATTAATTTCCTGTCTTTTTTTGTATATTTTCTTTGTACTAAATCTACTACTGACACCACTAACTTTAATGATAAATACAACGCATTTTTGTGTAATTGCTTCATAACAGTGGTGGGCCGTCAGGGCCAGCAAGGCCTTCTCTGCTGGCCTAGACAGAATCACAAAGTTATAGCTATTTTATAATTTAATAATTTTTCAGAAATACACTACATGTATTACATGTGAGCCCTGCACCTTCGCGTCAGAGGATGCCAGAGTAGTGTTTACCATCAACCACCTGACGGGGAGAGCTCGCCTGTGGGGAACGGCAGAATGGGATCGTCGTACTCCTGCCTGTGCTTCCTTCCAGTCCTTCTCCGCCAAACTACGCAAGGTTTTCGGAGCGGTGTCCGGAGGACCGGATATCACCGGAGGGCTAATGAGGCTCCAGCAGGGCCACCGATCTGTCACGGACTACACCATTGATTTCCGGACCCAGGCTCGATTAAGCTCATGGAACATGGATGCCCAGTGTGACGCGTATCTGCTCGGGTTAGCGGATTATGTTAAAGATGAACTCTTCTCAATCGAGCTACCCACATCCCTGGACGGACTTATTGAGGCAACCTCCAGAGTGGATCGCCATATCCAGGTCAGGCGGCTGGCAAGGCGCCGGGAACAGTCGGGACAGGGGCAACCTTCTCACTTTCCTCGTGCTACAGCTCCGGAGTACACGCCAACAAAGCCGCTTCCTCAGGAGAGTGAACCCATGCAAATGGAACGTACTGGGCTATCCACGGAGGAACGTGAGCGGCGCAGACGGGGAAATCTCTGCATGTACTGTGGTCAGGCGGGTCAGTATGCTCACAATTGCCCGTTAAAGGGCCGGGGCTCGCCAGTAAGGAAGGTAGTACTGGTGAGCCGAGCAGATTCCCGATCCTCCGTCTGTCAACGACCACTTTTCCACGCCCAACTACTATTAACCGGGGGCTCCCATACGATTTCCACTTTCCTGGATTCTGGAGCAGACGCGTCCATTATGGACGAGGACCTTGTTACACAGTTGGGGATCGACCGGATACCTCTTCCCCAGGCTGTTTCAGCTAGTGCCTTGGACGGTCATCCTCTGGGAACAGAACCAAACCGTCCCGGTACACATGCTGTTGTCCGGCAACCACCACGAAGCCATCAGCTTCCACATCCTGCAAACCCCTCGCATTCCCCTCATTCTGGGATACCCCTGGCTACGTCGACATAATCCGCATGTCGACTGGACTATGGGAGCTTTTCGGGGTTGGAGCCAGTCCTGTCACCTAGTCTGCCTGAAGCAAGCCGCCGTTCCACAAGGTGCCACGCTCACCCAATCCACGCCTGAACTTACGAGAGTTCCTGCGGAATGCTTGGACTTTAGGGAGGTTTTCAATAAATCCAAGGCCATGTCTCTGCCTCCCCACCGTCCGTATGATTGTGCCATCGACCTCTTTCCTGGTACGTTCCCACCTAAGGGGCGCCTTTATTCCCTGTCTGCTCCTGAAAGAGAAGCGATGGACAGTTATATTAACAACTCCCCGCCTTGCGGTATCATACGTCCCTCGTCCTCTCCCGCAGGGGCTGGATTTTTCTTTGTGGAGAAGAAGGATAAGACTCTCAGACCCCGCATCGACTACCGGGGCTTAAATGAAATTACGATTAAGAACCGGTACCCTTTGCCACTCATCGCAACGGCCTTCGAGCTACTTCAAGGAGCCACCATCTTCTCCAAGCTCGACCTCCGCAACG